TTTTTTATTAAAATAAAAAATATATTTATTATTTTTTAAAATATTTAATAATTATAATAAAATAAAAATAAATAATTTATATAATTAAATTTATACGAAAATAATAATTAATATAATATAAATTTTTTAAAATTTAAAAAAAAATTTTAATTTAATTAATTATAAATGCGTTAATAATTAACTTTTTCTTAAATTTTAAAAAATAAATTTATACCCGTTTATATATTTATAATTAATTAAATTATTAATTATTTTAACTTATTAATTAATTATTTTTATTTATATATTTATAATTAATTAAATTATTAATTATTTTTATTTAATAATTATATTTAAAATTTATATTTTTAATTATATTTAAATTAATATTAATTTATATTTTATATATTTTAAATTATAATTTTTATTATTTTTTATTTAAATTATAATATAATTTATATAAAATTTAAACGAAAATTTATAAAATTATTAAAAATTAAATATAAAAAATAATTTTAAATTATTTAAAATTATATCTTATATATTATATAAATAATAATAAATATATTATATAATTAATATTATTTTTAATTAAATTAATTATATGTTTAAAAATAAAATATTAATAAAATTACTTTTATATTAAAAGTTAAATTTATATAATAATTTAATAAAATTAATTTAAATTAATATTAAATAAAAAAAACATAATAATATATAATAAAACTTAAATTAATTACATCGACGGTTAATGCTTAAGTTTACCCGAGATGAAAAAAAATAAATGTTCATTTTAAACATCATTATAATAAGTCACGCATGTTCGATTTTAGTCTTTTTTACCCCATTACATCCTACCATGGCTAGCACGTGTGCTAGCCCAGCTTGACGTTAAAAGAAGGTGAAGTTAAGTATAAGCAGAGGAAATTGTTGCGGAATGGAGGAGCCAGGTTGCTAGAGTTGCGGTTATATATCTCGCGGCATGCTAGCTAGTACATTTTAAAATAAGGAAGATAGAAAATAAGCTATACCCCTTATCTCCCTAGTATTATCACGAAAAGCTCTTTGGCGTACCAAGAACCTGGAAGCTATTAACCAACGGCGTAGCGTTTGCCTGCGTGACGCTAAGACGTATCCTGCTCGTCTCGACGGCTGTGTCTAACCTGTTGATACGCTTATATCCCAGCGACGTGCCCGTCACAAGCGTCTTATAAACGCCGTTTACGACAGCCTCAATCGTATACCCACCGATCCTCTGGCCCAAGGCAATATGCTCCTGTGCAATGAAAGCGTCTATAGCGTAGGTCCCGCCTAGATCGACTTCCAGCCATCCCGTTTTCTCTTCGTCGTTAAGTGCCCAATACGTATCTTTGTTGCCGTCGAGCACGTTGGCTGGACCGTAGAGCGTAGCGTTACCATCACGGATGCTGCTTGCGTTTACTGCAAGCCCCGGTCTAAGCAGCTCGCGGTCGAGAAACGCGTCACGTTGGGCTTTAAATTGCAGCAGAATGTCTACGTCACCCTTGGGAATCTGTCCCGTCGTATCGGGCGGGACGTCGAGCAGAAGGTTTACGCTTCGACCTACCGACTGCAGATACATGTTCATCAGGGCATCGGCTGTCTTTGGCTTCTCGTTGGAATGATAGAACCAGCCGTCTCGTATGCGCGCGTCTGCTTCCGCTGGGGTCCAATAGGTACCATCTCGTACGCCCGTTTGCAGCTGCTCGCCTGAATAATGCGGCTGATCCTGAGTCCTGCTGATCGTATGCCAATTCGTCTCCACCGTCACTCCATCCTCATTACCAACCCATCGAGCATCCACGCCCTGGTGACCCCACATGATTGCGCCTGGCTGATTCACACGAATGATATTGCGGAAACCCGTCCAGTTAAACGTCTGCACAGTGTCGGAGCCGCTGTTCCCATCGAGCCATAACTCTGATAACTGAATAGTCGAGCCGTTGCTCAGCCGCATCGTAACCAATTCTGTTAGTTGCTGAGAATAAAGCTGATTATAATCGCCAGCGTTAGCATCGCCAAAAATCTGCGGCTCATCATACAAGGTACCAGTTAGGTTGGGCTTCGGCATAGCTGGATCACGGTGTATATCCCACGGCGACAGATAAATGCCGAACTTGATACCATATTTCTTCGCAGAAGCGGCCGCTAACTGTACGACATCCGCGTTGAGATGTTTTTCCGCGCGATCCTTTGCCCAGTCTCCATTGCCAATCTTATACGTGGTCGTATTCGTATCCCATAGCGCCATGCCATCATGGTGCTTTGCTGTTAGGATCATCCCCGCCATACCAGCATCCGCAAAGGACTTAGCCCACTGATCCGTGTCCAGAGCCGTCGGGCTAAAGACGACGGGGGTGCTCTGACTTCGTCCCCATTCCTCGTCCGTGAAGGTATTAGGCCCGAAGTGGACGAATGCGTAGTATTCCAGCCGATGCCATTCGAGCTGCTGGGCGGATGGTGTCTGCAAATATGCGGTAGGTGGAGCTTGACCATACACCGCGTTCGCCAGCCCACTCACGGTACCGACGAGCAGCAACATCCATCGGTGGCCATTCGCAGGCCGCGATCTTTCTAACATTGCGACCACAGTAGACGGACACGAAGTAGCTTAATACATGCGATAACAGTACGATCTAAGCAGAAAGCGATTGAACCTGCTAAAGTCTACATTGGATAATGACACTCTGGTAATTTGGTGATGTAGTAGATAGGCGTCGTTTCCCCGGATTCTCTTTACGGTACCGGGCGGGGATTCTTCGATGCCGTAACCGACAGGGACCGTGACTGGTGGAAGCCGGTCTGAGATTTGCCGTATTCCATTTTAGGAAGTTGCCCAGAAATTGAATGAAAGAGTAGTGCTGAGGGCCTCTCTTTTGAGAGTAAATTGACCTTATGAAGGGGGATAGTGAGTAGATATATAAAACTAAGAAAATATTTTATAACTACTGGAATTATTAAATAGGAGAATATTGACTTTGATTAGTTGATGTAGTCCATAACTTCAAACTTATGATGGGTAACTACTTGGTAACTACCTTGTAATTTACTGAAGTTATGTCTTACATAGTGTAGTTGGATGAGATCTCACTTAAGAATCATCTAGATCTAGATCGTAACCTAGGTAGTGTAGAAGTTGCTAGTAGCAAAAATGAGCAAATCGTGTTGTCAAAGAAGCCGAAGCTTACACCATATCACGTGATGACGTCATATCCAAGGATCATGCCATCGGGTTTAGCAAGCTCGTCCGACCTTTACTGTTAGCTAAGGTGACACTAAACACCCTGCCGGATGGGTAACGGCTAACTGGGAAACTCCATGCGGCACAAAGTATTTTCTTGACGTTTAACTTCCAACAAATTCCACATAATAATAAACAATAAACAACAAATATCCAGACCTATAGAAGATCTTTTTCCGAACCTCAATTGGCCCGCATAGACACTACATACCTCCGTCCCATCCTCCTAGGTCCTACCGCATAAAGATGTTCGCCAGATCAGCTTTTCGCGCGGCCCAGCCGCTGAAGCGGGTAAGTACAATATCTGCAGTCATCATACTACAGCTTTATCCGAAGCTCCGAGTTTAACTATTTAACTTTCAAGAGCTTGAAATAAGTCTCAATTGCGCCGAATCCCATGCTAACATACGCTTTTTGTACTCTAGAATCTCCTCTCGCGCACATACGCTACTGAGCCCGCCAAGAGCGGCTCTTCAAAGACTCTTCTCTACACATTGGGCGCTGTTGGTGTCGCAGGTGCCGGCTATTGGTACTATTCGGGACAGAGTGCCGGTTCGGTCGCGAGTAAGGTCAAGGACGTCGCAAGCAGCTCGCCCAAGAAGGCCTTCCAGGGCGGCGACCAGGGCTTCATCTCCCTGTTGCTGAAAGACGTCCAGCCCATCAACCATAACACCAAGAAATTCATTTTCAAGCTGCCCGAGGATGACCAGGTCTCGGGTCTGACTATAGCCAGCGCCCTGCTTACCAAGTTCCAGAACGAGGGCCAGAAGCCTGTCGTACGGCCATACACGCCTACGAGCGATGAGGGCAAGTCCCCTCTATGAAGATCAGACGAAAAGAACTCTAGCTAATACGCAGGGCGCATAGATGCCAAGGGCTACATCGAGCTAATCGTGAAGAAGTACCCCAATGGTCCTATGTCGACGCATCTACACGACATGGTGCCCGGGCAGCGCCTGGACTTCAAGGGCCCGCTACCCAAGTACCCGTGGACCCCGAATAAGCACGACCACATCGCGCTGATCGCCGGTGGCACGGGAATCACACCCATGTATCAGCTGACCCGCGCAATTTTCAAGAACCCCGACGACAAGACCAAGGTCACGCTTGTCTTCGGCAACATCTCCGAGGAAGACATCCTGCTCAAGAACGAGTTCGCAGAGCTCGAGAACACGTATCCCAACCGCTTCCGCGCCTTCTACGTCCTGGATAACCCTCCTAAGGAGTGGAAAGGCGCCAAGGGGTATATCAACAAGGACCTCCTGAAGACCGTCCTACCTGAGCCCAAGAGCGAGAACATCAAGATATTCGTGTGCGGTCCTCCAGGCCTGTATAAGGCTATCTCTGGTACGAAGGTCAGCCCGTCAGATCAGGGCGAGCTGTCCGGTATCCTCAAGGAACTGGGTTACTCCAAGGACCAGGTTTACAAGTTCTAAGTTGTTTAGGTTTTTTTGGGCGGCGAGCGCATAGAAAGCTCGGGTATAGAACTAAACTAGCCTAATATTGGCTTGAGAACGAAGGCGTCGGCGTGTTCGCGCGATTCCTTTTGTTTCTGCTTTGTGAGAGAAAGAACTCTTGCGGGGATGATAGATTTGTTCCTCTTTCAACCCATCCGCCTGTATTTCGTAGCTTAACCTCACATACGGAGTATCTCAAAAAACCAAACCCATACGACATTTTCTTTGCTATTTGCGCAATTGGTGATATGTCTTAGGTTTCTATGTCGTCTGACGAGTTGGTCGGATATCCGGCACGCCCCCTTCTCTCACGATGCTATTTGCTCAGCCAGCCATCGATCGATCAAACCCCGAACGACGGGTGCAGCCTTGTCGGTGACCTTCGTTGAGGGGAATTGCAATGAGGCATGGTCATCTTGTCTCTGGAACATCGACAATACAGTATCGTTACTATCGCCTACCTCGCCAAGACTCCTCTACATCTAAATTGATAATTGCTGGGCCTCTTTGCTTTCCTGTAACTAAGTATCGACCTATGATGTGCAGTCTCGGATCCAATCTCCAAAGATAGTAAATAGCTCGCCGCGGAATCGCTCAAACGCGCGCGCATGCTAGTAGTACAGACTATTCTATTACCACTGGAAAACTGCATGGATAGGAATAACGAATACGATACCAATAATAGCATGCTATGCAGGTCAGTCTTACGTACTATTTACTTTACTTTTCCACGCCGAATCTTAAGAGAACTATATCACGACATAGAGAAGGGGCGCTTCTAGACTTGGCTCGTGGCGTCCGATAATTAAGCTTCGACAACACGCGTAAGCGCAATTTCGTTCCTAAGCCGCGGGTGTAGTCTACGATGCGAGTATCTCAGGAGGTGGTTTAGTTTACGTACTCGATGGGACGGAACACGGGCATGCCATGGCGGACATATGTACGTAGAGGCAAAGCAGACTAGCAGACAGATGGGGTCTAGAAGGGTCATGCCAAACCATGATGCGAGGCGGGAACAGCCGCCCGGTCTAGGAACCAGGAGGGCCAAGGCGCTATATGCTTACGCGCTCGATGATAGCTTGCTCTTTTGCCTTGGCTGCTTTTCCTGCGCCCTCGGCGGACTTGGCTGCGGCAGTAGTAGACGGAAATTAGACGTCAAGAAATTAGATAGGTAGGATTGGTAGTGCGGCCCCCATCGTCAGATATCATCTTTCAGCTTCGGGCGCGTCGGGCGTCTCCCGCGCAGGGAGCGATAATATATGCTGCATGCCGTGGAACAAGGCCGTCTCGTTACTAGGCCACCTGCCTACTTACCAATCGATTCCCTAGGAAGAGGGGATTCTAAGTTAGAAATCCCCTTTCCCACCTCCCTACACATAGTGGTTGTGGTAGTAGCTTCTTGAAAGTTGCCGTAGCTATCTCCCATGCCGGCTAAAGTCCCCTTGAGCGCGCCGAAATGTGGCCGATAAAGATGAATAGCTGGAGCTGGGCCGCGATTCCATACATACACGCGTGGCTACCTCGCCATATAACACCATGCTGCGTTCTCTGCTCTTGGCATCGGGCGATTTGCTACGGAATCCACGTGCGAAAGGGGGAAAGGGGGGCAGCTGGACGACGAGGGAGTTCTTATTGGTTTCTGCGGTTGGTTACACGATGATTGGCGACATACGCCTGCCGATTGACGAAATGACTGGTTTAATTTTCCGCGCTGAAGGGACAGATGGTATGGTGTAGTGCCGGGTTAAAGTCGAGAGCGGGTGGGTTCCTCGATCACATAGATCCGGGGTACGTTCTGCTTTCTCGACCAGCTTGGGTAGCTACCGACCAGTCCTTTGGCCCAGGTGGATCTGGGGAAGCGAAAAGGAATGTGGGAATGAAGGTAGCATCGAGGCGAATTTAACCAGCCGCAGGTTTGGATTCGGCGTTTAGCGAGAGGCGCCCCGGAAGACTGGAAATGAAGCTCCCCTCCTTGCGTATGGGGACGGACAATCCAGAATACCGAGTTAATTAAGTGGCTTCATGTTGCCGTACCGCACGTAGGACCTAGGTAGATAGGGGTAGTACATCAAGGTTCATCTGATCGCAGCGCCGTTGCTAAGCGAACGTAATACTGACTCAATGAACCACATACTCGGGTTCTGAGCACGGCGTCGTAAACTCAAATTCCACGAACCCGCACAATTAACGTCGGTTAGCCAGGCACTTAAGACTTAGATGCAGGAACAATGTTGTACTGGCTGCGTCCATCCGATTTGCGATTTGGTGTATAGTATAGACCATGTAAAAGTTTATGTAAGAGACACAAGTTGTTGTTCAAGATTAAAAGCTAATAAGTTGTAAGATTGTGGTTGAAGAGTTCAAGAGGCCACGAGCCCCAAGTCACGTATTTTCTAGAGGAAAGTGGAAAAAACATCAAATCGCAATGTGATTGCGGTTTCTTTGAATCAAAATTCATGAGATGCAACGCGATTTCCTTAATTTTCTTGCAAAGTTACTGGCCGGCCCCTGAGCCCCAACTGTATGACGTCAATCCCGTCTAGGCGAAGTTCAGTGGCCGGGAAGTCCGTATATCGTCATTGTATAATTCGAATCGTGAATTGACAAGTTGTTGTTGTTGTTCTGCTGTTATTTGTTGGAATTCCAAATCAATGCTAAGATTTTTATTTTATTTTATTTTATTTTAATGCGCATCTCAACGCGTCGTAATAATTGCTTCGCTACCAATATAGCACTCAACTAGGTTCACTTACACGTAACAATGGAGGCAAAACACCAAAATAGCCAACGACGACGGCCGGGGAAAAGTCCACCGAAAGCATTTAGAGAACACTTATTTCATTCTCTACTCAATTATGCCGGCCCGTATAGCGTAGGAATAATGGAGATAGAAGTGCCGGTACGCGAGCCGCGCACGTTCTCACGTATTAAGCACAACCATATGCATGCGCTACGGATGGATACGGTCCTCTTCTCAATATACTATCCATGCGACCCTTCGTCCTACGCGCAGAGCAGGGGGAAGAGACCGTCAAAAGCCACGTGGCTACCGAGGCCGCGCACCTTGACGAGTAAAGGGTACGCAAAGTTCTTTAGTATGCCACAATTGCCTGTTACGGCTTATATCGCGGCTACGAGTATGTTCACTAAGCTGCCCGCTTTCCGGAATGCCAAGCTTGCCGGAGACCGCCCCGGTGACTGCGCCGGTGCTGCATCTCGCTCATCGCTTGGTGCCCATAGCCAAGACACTTTGACGGGAAGTGGGGACAAGCCCAAGTTCCCAGTTATTTTCTTCAGTCACGGATCAGGGGGTTCTCGAACGTGTTATAGTATAGTATATGGGGAGCTTGCTGGCAACGGTTTTATTATCGTCGCAGTAGAACACCGCGATGGAAGCGGTGCACGTTCCTATGTCAATATTCCGCCAAGCGGCGAGCTGGCAGACGGTCTAAAGATTAACAACACAAACCCGAAACGCTTTTACAAAGTCGATTATATTTTCCCTCCAGATAATGCTCTAGATACGTCACCTAATAATGCCCGAGGTGTGGATACTGAACTTAGGCACGCCCAAATCGAAATGCGCATGTCTGAGATTGGAGAGGCGTACTATGTCCTTGAGCTCCTCAATAACGGCCAGGGGGACTTGGTCTACAAGAATAATTTGAGAAAAAAAGGCAATGCTGGGTCGAGCTCTAAAGGTCTAGAAGTTATCAATTGGTCTGATTGTGATGGTAGACTTCTCTTATCGAACGTCACGGTAATGGGACACCCTTTCGGTGGAGCGACGACAGTCGAAATCGTTCGTCAGAATGACCGTTTCCCCTATATTGGTCAAGGTATCTTCCGTGATGCATGGGGACAGGCCACGCCAAAAGTAGGAGAAGTTACTCACCAATCCCTACGCAAGCCTCTCTTAGCCATCAACTCTGAGGCATTCATGCACTGGCCTGAAAGCTTTAGGAGAATATGTGATATTGGAAAAGAAGCGAGAAATGGAGGGGCTCTCTGCTGGGTGCTCACCATCAAAGGGTCTACCCACCTTTCTCAAACTAATTTTGCCATGCTATATCCTCATTGGATGTCTTTTTTTATGAAAACAATGGTAAATCCTAAAAGAGCAGTAGCCCTAACCGTAAACTCTTCCTTGGAATTCTTGAGTCGAGTCCTGCCTCCTGCTCTCACACTTGGAAATGCCTGGGTTAATGAAGGAATCTTGAAGACGAAAGTTCTTATTGCAGGCGAACTGCCACGCGAACATCAACCCGATGGCAAGTTGATAGCTTCTCGTCTTAGGATATTTAATGAGTTACGGATCCGTACGGTCAATTGGGTTCGACGAGAACCTAAGGAATCAGTTGCTACTTATATAAAAGGCAGGCCGCTGATAGGTCTGGTGAACTTCCCGCTTGGGAGCGAGGTTTGGATGCATCTCAGTCCAGACGAAGAAAACCGGCAATATCCGATTCGGTTGAGCCAGGAAGTTTAGGTACCTAAGAAAAACGGTACAGTCCACTCCTCCTACGACCTCTCGCGATTTGTTGCTTTCCGGTGCTTACGTAGAAGACAGAGTAGCCCCGCCGTATACGTCGGAGATACCACACGGTAAGAATCCGCATGTTCAATGAAGTTAGTATCGAAATGAGGACCATGATTGATATTGATGCTAGCATCATACATGAAGCATGCAGCAATAGCGTCAAATAGCTGTTCTCGCCCCAATGCGAACAGGGATGTCGACTGTGGCTCAAGAGGGCCAAGACCCTATAAGAAGCAACCCGAGCTGAGGCTCTCACCATCTAAGGGAGATTTTTAACGCCTTAAAATGCAGCCCAATTCAGGTGCAGGATTGCAGGATCTTCTGGAATTTTTTTCAGTCGCCCGAAAAGCTCGCTAGTCGTTAAGAGCTGAATACAATAGGTTCCGGATCTGCCCATAGGTACGTAGCGAACCATACGTTCTCAATCCTTGAAATTTCGTCAGATCTCGCCCGATCCGTCTCTCGAAAGGGATAATGCGATGCAATGCGATGTCATAGCTCTAAAGGGGGGCCGAATGCTTCGCGAAACGCTACCCGTTTGCCGGTCTAGAACGGAATCACCTAATGAAATTTTCTTATGCTACAATTAGCCCATCTGGACGTTTGAGCTCATTATATTTAATAGAGTTGTAGCTATTGTGGAATAGCTTGCGCGTCGTCGACTAGGGAGAGGCTGAT